TTTATACATCTGTTACTTCACAGAAACATTCAAATAGTTCACCAGTAGCACTATTCTTGCCTGAAGAAGATGTAAGGTAGAGGAAATCAATGGGAGAACTTACTGAAACCTGAAAAGGTATGAAAAGTTTCAGTCAAGTTCTCTCATAAGAGCTCTTTCTTAGAAAACTGGGTGAGTGAAGAATATGCCATGGACATAAGTAAGCATGGTTACATTTTTACTCCATGTTTCAGTGAGGCAAGTGAGGATTTTTATAATTTCCTGTGTTTTCCTTACAAAGTCCCCACAGCTACTCAGCAATTTCTGACCAAATTGCTCTTTTCTTTATAAATCTGTGGGGCTGGGGAGAGAAAAGGGTCGTAGGATTTTGTAATATCCTTCTCCTTGGAAGGAATGAACACTTCTTACTGTAAATTTCAACCCATAAAATTCATCTGCTTACAATGCCTGTTAAACTCTGCAAGCTGAAACAGATGTTCATTCTTTATTTGTACTTCAAAATTGAAAATTAAGAACTATTTAGACAGCTGCTATATTCTTCGTGTGACAAGGCCTGCCCCAGATGGCGTGGCTTTAAATTACCCTGCCCTGCCCCATCACCCTCTTGTTGAGTAAGAAGCTGTTAAGGAGCCTGTACATACCACAATAGCCTGTTCTTCTAAGATGGCTAATTATGTTCTACACACCATGGAAAAGGACGGAGCTTTTCAGATCAGCTCTTCTTCCTTTTGAATCCATATGTCATTACTTAGAAAAGACTAGAACAAGATCTTGATGCTGTTTCAAGGGGACCCTTGCTACTGACATCGATAGTGAAGGATGAGAAACTATTTTTTTATTAACAAACTGACACATTTCAAAAAGCAACAGGAATAACATATGCTAGGTTGTCTTACTTAACTTTGATTTGTTGTGGATATTTTCTTTGAAAGTATATTACATACATTATTTGAGTCACAAAGGCAAGGTGAAAATAGTGGATAATACTCTTGAGACATGAATTATGAAGTAGATTTTTACATTCAGTGCTCAGAAGGTAAAAAACTGTAGATGCATTTATAAATACACATAAACAAATCTCTCAGGAAGCCTTACTGAATCAGGCACCTTCTGAACGCTGACATACAAACAAGCCATGTTTGTTTTGGTTTCCACTCCCCCACACCCCTTTGGTGATGTTAAAACAAATGAAAAACCAAAACTCATGCATGTTGTGACCTACACCCAGCTTAGAGATGCATAGTATTTTACACCTAATCAAAACTACATTTCCAGACACATGGAAGAAAATCATCTGCCCTGACAGTGCTAAGGGATGACCATTTAGAACCAGGGTCTTATCTTGCAGAATGTATCTACATTCATCACTGGCTAAAGAAACCTTTTTCTTACCCATGGAGAGTTTGATTGGAAAAGGTGTAAGTAACTGTCAAGGAGCAGAATGGTTGCAGGTTAGAAGCAAGATAAGGAAAACATTTGTTCTTAAACTGTGACTTTTGATGCAGCCTGCAAACACAAGTGCCCTACAGTGCCTATCATATTTTGTATAATGGGATATGTCACTAGCATGTAGTGACAATCACTTGAATCAAGCCCTTAATCCTACTAGCTCACCCACAGTTAAGCATCAGGTACTTCACACAGATCAGTCTCCCAACAATCTTCACCATGGGCTCACTGTTAAAGGACTACTAGTGTTCATTATATGAACAGCACAGTGTTCTCTGCCAGAGAATTGTGGCCAAACTGATACAGAGTAGAATGGGGTGATGGCAGACAGTCTAGCAAACATACAGCGTGAGGACAATTGTGGACACCTGGGGTGAACCGGGGGGGCCCCCGATGTGCAGAGGGATTGCCACTAGTGGCAGGCTCCTGGCTGCTTCACTTTTGGGGCCTCTCAGTCACCATTCACCCTTAAGTAAGGAGTTGCTTTTGGCCAGTTTTCTTGTGGCTATATCCTGATCAATACCAGTTCATAAATCAATCGTGTAATGGAATTATGTTTGGGTTGGAAGGGACATCAAAGGTCATCTAGTTCCAACCCAGTGCCAGACCAGATTACTCCAAGTCCTGTCCAACCCGGCCTTTGAACACTGCCAGGGATGGGCAGGGATGGGGCAGCCACAGCTTCTCTGGGCAACCTGTGCCAGTGCCTCACTATCCTCACAGGGAAGACTTTTTTTTTTCCCTAATGCCTAATCTAAATGTCCCTTCTTTCAGTTTAAAGCCATTCCCCCTTGTCCTGTCACTACAGGCCCTTGTAAAAAGTCCCTCTCCAGATTCCTTGTAGGCCCCTTTAGGTACTGGAAGGCTGCTTTAAGATCTCCCTGGAGCCTTCTCTTCTCCAGGCTGAACAAGCCCAACTCTCTCAAGCCTGTCTTCACAGGAGAGGTTCTCCAGCCCTTCAGCCATCTTCATGGCCTTCTCTGGACCCACTTGAGCAGGTCCATTAATAATAAACAATGATAAAAATCAATACTATTTCCTCCATGAACCTCCTCATTGCTACATCCACAAATACAGTTGTTTCTATATCCTGCAGTACACAGGGAATATAGGTCTGTATGCTCTTTTTTGTGTGTATACATAATAATCTTACTGGTCCAGAAGAGAGATTAGCACCTGAACCTAACATCTACGGCTGCAAATACACTACAAATCATACTAACAAATCCATCCCATAACAGTGTCACAACTTTATCTAGCACAAGTGCTAGTTGGACATTGTGATGCTGTGATGCAGTGCATGACTTGCTGTCATTACACATGCAGTGCTGTCACCTCAGAGTTCAACCCCCACACCCTCTTCCCTGCAGGACTTTTCTTTTTTTACCCCTCCCACTGACAACAGGCAGCAGGTGTTTTTCAGAGCTTGTCAGTGCTGCTTCTAGATCATACACAAGGAAAACTGTACATATCCCACCAAGAATGATCGAAGACAGAGCTTACCAAGAGCTAGGCAGTAACTGTAAAATATGTCCCTTTCACCTTTTTGCTTTTAGAGTTACCATCACACAGTTGCTTGTCTCACTTGGTATTCCCTAGGATGTAGACTAAATAGAAGTACTTTCATCAGACATACAAAATAGAAGCGGGGAGATGGCCATACAGTGTCAAAAAAAAAAAAAAAGAGAAAGAAATTCATAGGCAAAATTATGCCTCCTGAAAGCTGGTACTTTTCCTCTGGCTGCTGTCTCAGGACTACAATTGAAAAATGAGGAAGTGAATGTAAAATAGCAGAATTATGCCTCAGTGGCTTGAAACAAAATCCATCTGACTCACAGCATCACCCGTGGGTAAGGAAAAGAGAAGAGAGAGTATGCTCTGGCAGTAACATAATCACCATTTTGAAAACATTACCCAAGTCATTCACTTACTGTTTTGGCCTTGGTAACTTACCTCTTGTATGCTTCTCCAGACAGTTATTGCACTGGCTTCTATTCATACACCTTCAGTAAAGTGCACTGGCTTTGACTGAAGCAATAATCTCTACTACTCCAGAACATGTCCTACAGCAAGTTAACATGAATTTTCTGACATAACCACAGAAGGTGCAGTCAAGTTACCATCACAGCTTAGAAACTGAAAAGAGTTTGACAATAGGTATTTCAGAAAGTGGAAGAGGGTGCATGCTAAAGGCACACTTGTCAAATACTTTCCAAATCACCACTGCAGGAGCCTTTCCAGTTAGGCAAGTTTAAAGGAAGAGATTCTCCAATTAGTGAGGTGTTCTGATTAGTTCTCCCCCCACCCCAACCACTTTTCTGTGTGTTCTTCAACCTCTCCCAGTATCTCCTCTGGAATTGTTCCTGTTTCTGCAGACTGGCTGTTCTGAGAAAATGTATTTCTTTCATATATGTATCTTTTTCTCTGTAAAGCAACAACTGAGTTGCAGCAAGCATCCTGCTGTAGAGCTATACAATCTGCAGCAGGGCTATGGGTTAGCAGTACAGCTTTTAACACTGAGGTTTAGTTAAACACAGGTAATTTTATGACCTACTTACTCTGTTGCTAAAGAATCTGCTACCTGGGCAACACACTGCTCTTTCTATGGTGAAACTGGGGCATTTGGAAAAGCTGTCACAGCTTCAAAGCTAAAAGCTTTAAAAGTTTCAAAATAATAAAGCTTTTGATTTTTGAAGTTTTGCCAATCCTTTCAAATTTTTATTTAGTTTACTTGCCAATTTTGGAATCTGACCTATGCCACAATCTTGTATCTTTAATTAGTGTAAATTTAATATCTTTATTCTAGTGGCTGTTAATGTGAGATAGAGCATTTCACCTTTTGGATCAGTGGCTCCTTGTAATTAGGGTAATTTTAATTTGGAGAGTTTGTAAATTTTTTCATTGCAAAGGTGACAGAGGGGAGCAAGGTAAACTGTTCTTGACCACAATACTTTTACCTAATGTAGCTTAAAATTCAAAACAAACAAACAAAAGACCCAAATACTTCTGTTTCACTCTACTGTTCACTCTTATTTCAATCTACTGTTTTATTTACAGTTTCCTTAGCTGCAAATGAAATTTTGGAAAGATAGAAAATTGCAAGGGTCTTACCCTCTTGCTTCCTCCCACCTGGCAACTCCCAAAGCTATTCTTTGTATGTGTCAATTCAAAATAGTCACTTATCTTTTGAAGTTCCATCCTATAGTGCTGGAGAAAAGGTCTTGAGGTTTGCTGGTTGTGGTTTTGTTTTGCTGCTGTTTGTTTTGTTTAAAAGGGAAATAAAACCTTATTTAGGAAAAAAAAAAAAACAACTTTATTTTCCGAAACATTCTTAGATTGCAACAAGAACAAAGTACAGTACAAAAATGACTCACACAGCCTGCAATACTTAATAAAACACTAATCAAATACCTAACTTTTTGTCAAGGTCCTTTTGGGTCCAGTATACATTTTTCATATTACAGAGGTAATCCCCACTTTACAGTGGCATCAGATAAAGTTTGCAACACCATTATAAGACAGTCACCAGTATTTGCTCTATTACATACATATACCAGGTTTTGACATGGCTTTATTTTACCCCAGACACATTGAGTGTAGTTCAAAGTCAAGTACAGATTTCTCTCCTTGTGTCAGGAGTTCAGCATTAAATTCAGCAGGTTTGCCTGGAATCTACCAGAAGTCTTTCTTCGGTAAATACTTATATCCTGGTAGAAACTTTTTGCACCTGTCAATCCAATACCCTGTTTCATAACAGAGCAGCTGCACAAGATGTGATGGCACAACGTGTTTTTCTCCCTCAGAGCCTCCAGCTTCTTTTACTGCCTTTCACAACTAGTTATGAACTGCAGTGTGTGGCATGCCAAACAAACCTAAAAAGAATATACACAGCAAGACAAACATCTTCAAGGTTTCTCCTCTCATGCCTATCTTTGCAGAGGATGCAGTAAAGGCACAACCTGTACCAACTTAGCAAGTCAGTATAGGCTGTGATCTCTTCTGCAGAATTCTAACATGAAGGAAAACTAAAAGACAGGGTTGTTGTTTTTTTTTTTCTTCCCATGAAACTGTAATTTATCACAGAATGGTTTGGGTGTAAAGGACCTTAAAGATTATCTAGCTCCAACCCTACCACCCTGCCACAGATGGGGACATAATTCAGTCAATGAAAGCAGGGGTGAAGTATTTGACAAATTCTATACACATGCAATGTATAAACAAATGTTACTGTCACCCCTTTACTTTTATTTCCATGACAATATCACCTTTACAATTACCTCAAGAATCTATTGTTTCTGTTGTGATCATTTGTTTTGCACTGCAAAGCTTGTTTTGGTCAATCTTAATTTTCCCTCTTCATCTAAACCTTTCAGAAAAAGCTAAGAGCGAAGTCTGTAGATACACAGAACTAGAACACCCCTGCATTAAGACTTGAGGGCACAGGGACGTTACAGGCACTTATGTCCCATTCACTGGAATACAGTGCAAAGAGTCCCAAGCCAGCTGAGACTCTAGCCATCCATTCCATGTAGCACAGAATACTGGCACTGCATACATAAACAGCACAAGTCTAAATAGTCTAAAGTCAGCTTCACTGTTTACATGCAGCAAGCTTGGGTACCTCTGCACTGGAATCACCACTAGTTTCCCTGTGCCAGGATAAGCACAAGGAAAGGCAGGCTTTATCAGATCTTCACAGCATTTTCTGTCACCCCATTTCACCAAGTCTGCAGCTGTTTCTTATCTTATAGTTTTGCTAAGGTTGGAAAATCCAATGCCAACACATGTCATTAAGACTTTCTCCCCACCCATGTACTCTTCCTCAGGGGACTTTGTTTCAATTTTAAACATGATCTGGAAGAAGTTTCTCAAGTGTCGCAGAAATTCAATTCTGAGGGAGAGAAAACAACAGAGTTTAAGAAACAAAACAGAAAACCCATTTGCAATACATACCAACGCTGATGACAGCACTAAGTACAATGAACAAGACAGAAAATGTTGCTTAGTACAGAGAAACAAGCCTACAGGCTCCAAACATTGTTCTCACTTGGGCTACAGAAGTGGCTAGTGACCCCTGCTGAAACCACTGCATTCTGTATGAGCAGAGAGAAGAAAGGCCTGGTGGCATAGCAAGACAAAATGGTGTGGAAGAAAGAAAGGAAAACATGTAGCCAGGCAAGGTCACTTACTAATGATGCTGACTTCCCATCAGGGCCATATGAACCTAATAGCAACCTGTGCAAATCCCCCCTCTACCCCACTCAAAAAACAGAAATCAAAGAGGAATAGCTAAAAGGCTGGCCTTACATGCGTAATTAAAGAAGAGAGACATCAATTCCTAAAGCATGTCCTTCATTTGTATTACTAACATAGCCACATTTTAGTTAAACATTACACTAGAATCACATTCTGACTCAGAATTCTTCCTGTTTTCTCCCCTCGTTTTCAGGAGGAAAAAAAAAAAAGTAATTTTCTTTTCATCACTTTAGAATAAGCAGCACAAAGAGACTAAACAGACACAGCAAGTGCTCCTAAACACACAGACTGGAGGGCGAGTGAGAGGAAAAGCTACTGAAAAGTATATAAAAAAAAGAACAAAAACCAGCCAAGAAAACATTCCTACTGTCTTCCCCAAAACAGGGAACAAGCAATTACACCAAAAGCCTACAGATATAAAATTGGTAATTGCTCATGACAGAAGTCTGGTCTTTTCCAATCATGGACACAAGCATGCCTGCAGTCTTGAACTAAGGTTTAATCTCCTCCAGCAACTGGTATGTGCCCTTCTTAGGTTAAGTTTAACCTTTAAAGAAAGGGAATCCAACCCACACATTTGTTTGGCTGGCAGTCTGTAAAAAGCCTCTGCTCTGCAGGCTGAGAGCATAATCACACATCATTACACCAAAGCAATGAAAAGTGCCCACAAAACGGGAAGCTGGAAGTCAAGGGATAGGACTGTCCCCACTGCAACATCATGAGGCCTCTGAAAGCTTCCTGGCAGCTCCTGTTCACAGAAGCTGTAACCAACAAAGCTGCAGGAACAAGAATTGCCTTATGCACTTCATTTGGGCATGCTGCTGCTCCTGCGCTTGAGTATATGCATGGGGTAAGGAGAGAAACAGCAGGACTCCGCTCCTGTTACCTCCAGGGGCCTGTTCTTAGCAAGACCTGAGTTATCTCTGGGGGCAGCCGGCTGAATACCTCTGCAGGGTGAATGCAGGCACATGGCTACCCACGCTACATACACCTTTCTATCTCTACCATCCCAGGCTGATATCTGGCTTCAGCACAGACACCAACTCTCTCATTTCTCAAATGGATTAACAGTTGAAAGAAAACCAAAGAGCACCTTTTCTTCCATGCCTCCCCAAATGCAAGGTTTATGGTTGCTGCTGTTAATAGGCAAATGGGCATATGCTAGCACAAACTCTTCAGTGAAGCTGACAGGCAATGAGCTCTGTACTAGCCTCCTCCTTAGCTGGGTCCCCTCCCAGAGCTCTGGCAGTGTGACAAGAAAGCAGCCCAGCCCAAAGCAGCAAGAGTGGTCTGCTGAGCTGCAAGGCGGGCACAGAATAAACTGTGTAAATGCCAGAGGCAGTGTAGAGCTGGAGGCTGAGAGACGCTGATCAGCAGCCTCTGCCCCATGTTGGTGGGCTCAGTTCAGTCTATACCTCTCTTTGCACATGCATGGACTACTGTGCTTCTTTACCTCTTCTCCATTTTGAGTAAAAGCAGAGTGAGAAAAAGCAATAGGGCTTTGCCACAGCTCCCTGGTACACAGGAAAGGCTCACAGGGGTGCGAGCAAAGGGAAGGCTGCCTGGGAATGTCAGAGGGAAATCTGGGAGCCCCAAGAGGCCAGCTGTCTTGCAGAACTAGAAGCACAGTGGTAAGAGCCCTGGAAACAGGAGAAAACCAGAGGAAGGCAGGGGTATGTGACAGAGCACAGCAGAATGAAGGTTTGTATTAGCTAGCGGCTGATAAGGGTTCTGTGTGGGAAGGTTTGCACCTCAAACAGGAGTGGAACCTGAACCAAACATGCCTGTATGGACTGGAGAACTGAGGGAGGGGGTGAGAAGTGTGCAGAAGTTTTATTTTGCTGGGAATTTAGAATTGTATGCTTAGGCATGAACACGGCAGAATGCAACACTTCTTTAGACCCATGGAGAGCTACATGAGCCACACTGCAAGTCTTCCTCAGGGCCTGTGCTTTCAAATAAACCCCCACTGTGTTACCAATAACCTGAAAAGGGTAAACTGTTTACCCAAGTGCGGTTATTTCCCAGAAGCCTGCAGGTACATCTTAGCTCTCTGTCAGGGCAGAGCGACCGACTAGCAGATTCGTGCACCAGCGATGACTCCTCGGTTCGACCACCCCAGGAGCAGCGCAGGGCTCAGCTGGCAGCGCCGGCGGCTCCGGCACGGCTCCACAGCGCCCCGCCGGGGCCGAACGCGCCCGAAGGAGGAGTGGGGAGAGCTCGGCCTGACGCGCAGCTGCTGGGTGCGGCCTGCGGTGGGACACGCAGGCAGCCAAGGGGCGCAGCGGGCAAGCCGCGGCCCCGGCCCCGGCCCCGGTCCCGGTCCGGCGGGTGGAACCAAGGGAGGGGAGGACAGAGGAGGAGAGGGGAAGAGGAGGGGGGGGGGGAGGGGAAAGGAGGCGGGGGAGAAAGGGGAGAGGGATTAGGAAGAGAGGAAAGGGGAGGAGGGAGTAAAGGAGAAGGAGGAAAAGAAGGAGGGAGTGGGGGGGGGGAACCGGAGAAGGGAGGTGAGAGAGAAGGAGGGAAAAAGAGGAAGAAGGGAAAGAAGGAGGGAGGAGGAGGGAGGCAGGGGGCAAAGAGAGCAAGGGGGAGAAGCGAGGCCAGGGCAGGGTGGTGGTGGTACCGGCACCCCCGGCATGGATGGTGCCCGGGATGGAGCCAGAAGCAGCACAGGCGTCCTGCCCACGGCAGCCCCCGCCTCAGGTGCTGTGCTCGTTCCCTCCCCTTGAAGCCCCTGAACCCTCATGCAGGCATAGGCCATGGCACTCAGGCTTTCCGGTTGCTCTCAGGGCTCATGTCAGCTCACCTGCACGCAGTCCTGCCAGACTGTGAGGTGGCAATGCTGCCAGCACCCTGCATTTGATTTTTAAGCTCAGCTTGACAGACAGGCACGCACTTCTGTGAAATCTGGCGCATGAGGCAAGAGGTCTAACACACAATAACCCTTCACAGTGGTGGTGGTAAAATACTGAACAGATTGCCCAGAGAGGTTGGAGACATGCAAGGGCAGGCTGGATGGTTCTGGGAAATCTACTCTAGATGAAGCTATTCATCTAGAAGCCAATCTAGGGGCTTACATGGTTTATAAAGAGCTTCAGATTCTGCTGGGTGAAGGTGTTACATGGAGAGATGTCACAGCCCCATGAGAGAAAAAGGACAATGAAATGGAACATGACAGTACTGCAATTTACTTGAAAAGCCTCCATACACAGCGAGTTGCACAGAAGTCACATTTCCTAGACCTTTATGAGCAGCTTTTCACAGGGGTGCTGCAGAATGAGCTGTGTGATCTCTGAACAGATCTTCACAAAACTAGTGAGTCACAGATTCTCACAGAATCACAGATTTTATGATCCCATGTGACACGTGATGCTTCACAATGTTAGCTCCTGACATTCATCCCTGATGCACGCTCCTGCCTTGGAAGAAGTGACAACCAATCCATTTGAAATCAGCCCGCTTACAAAATAAACTAGTGCCCGTGCATGATTTACATAGCATCAAACAAACAAAAAAGGCAGGAAAAAAACCCCACAACAAAAACCCCACACCCAGACGCATGCTTAACTGTGCACTGACACTTCAGACACTGAAATCTACTCTTTGTAAGCCTTTCACATGGATACTTACTTTACAGGGGATTACTTCACCCCAGTGCAATGGGAGGCTTCCCTGTCTTACCCTCAAAATGTGGTGAATGTTGTTTCCAAGGTATCAGGGGTTGAGAATAGCAGTTAGGCAATTTCTAGCTCTCATGTGATGGCACCACCATTCTTCAGTTATCACAGTACTGTACCTTTCACGTATACAGCACCGGTACCATGATAACCGAAAAAGGACAGTTCACAGTCTTATTATTTGATGCCATTGTCAGATAAACAATCCTCCCTCCATCTAATTAAAGGAAAACTGCTCAGTCTCTATGAATAACTGTGATCTATTCACTTGTCAGTCTGACAGAATAAATGATATTTTTAAAACTAGATACCCTTCCCCTAATCTGTGTGCTGCGGCTAGCAATGTAAGAAATTTAGTCTTTTTCTATCCTCTGAACCACTACTGCCTGGAGACAAAGCTTTTAATAAAAATTAAGACTGAAGCACCAGACAGAAGTCCACTGCCTGACAGGGCTAAAGTTTTGGGGTTGCACAAAGCTCTGTGAATTGAACTCTTCAGCCATTTCCTACCACAGCTTCAGTGTTCGGCTAGCCATTTGAAACACGCCGTTTAATGCCACAGCTACACAGAGATCACTAAGAAAATGTGATACTGTATGCTAGGCAGCAAAAAGCCAACTGATACACACGTACAATCTAAGACAAGGAACCAACAAAACCCCCCATTTCTGCAATTCTCAGAACCAGGAATAATACAGAATAGTACAGGAATAATCTTCTGATGTACAGAAATAAATACTAGGTAACTTACACCACCTGTCTCATTTGAAGACGGGTACAAGCTGTTCTACTTGTAGCCACAGTCTAAGTCTTACATATAAAAAAAATACAGCTGTGCAATAAAATCAGTGAATTAAACAAGACTGGGTAATTAAACAGAATAAAACAACTTACGTGTATGGAGACAGAGGTCCTAACAGGACTTTGGAAACATCTCGTTGTCCAAGGGTCATGAGGAGCAGAGCAAGGCTCTGATTTGTTGAATCTACACAGCCTCCCTGCAAACCAGAATGTTTTAATAATTAATCTCTGTACAAACCAGAAATTGGGATGGGAGGAGAGTAATGAAGGAGAAAGATATACTTAAAAGGCTATATTACCGCCCCAAATTTTCAAGGGCCAAAAAGATAAAAATCTAGGTTTTGCAACAATGACAAATTAATTTCACATGTCAGGCTGGGAAAGAAACAGAACTAAACCAGAACCAAATAAAAAGGTCCTATTAAAGCTCTCTCCCATCTCTGCCCGCCTGTTCTCTTCTAACATCATAGAATGTAAGCACTGAAGAATTTCTTTGCAGCAAATGGAAAACAGGTATTAGTTTAGTTATAGCTCATGTGCATGTGGAAGATACCATGAAGTGCAGAACTTTCATACTTACATTCGGACAAACATCAGTGCTTGCAGGTGCAAACCAGCAAATTAAAAGTTGTTTCACACATATCCACCTAAGCCCTTGCTGCTATCTTCCGTGGTTTTACATTTGTAAAACATTTTCCCCATCATATTTAAAATGAGTTGTTCGGGTTTTTTTTATTGCTATGTGAGAGCCATGCATAAAACTGTCTTGTACATATTTGACTGTAGTAAGTCATACATGCATAGTAAATCGTTTTGTATTTGGAAGGTGTTAATTATGATGCATATGTAAATTAGAACTGGAAGGTTTTCTTTGTTTACAAGACTTGAATGTAAATTAAACAGGACACTTCCAGTTAAAACTGCATTAAAGAGAATTTAACAATTATCACTATGCAAACACATTGAAAATAAAGAAAATATCCAACATAACATTATTTTGGATGTCCTCAGACTGAGCCACAGCCACACAAAATCTGCGAAGAGTTCCCCACTGGATCAGGCCTAATGCTAAGCCCTCTGAATAGGCTCTCAGGAGAGAGCCAAACTAGAAATTCATCCTTTTAAGACTGAATTCTCTACTGAGGTAAGGTGGCCGTTTCCTTTGTGGACAAGGAGTAACCTGCCCTAATTTTAAGAAACACCATCTAAAGAGTTGAGAGGGGCAAAATAAGTCTTGGGCTATGCAGCTATGGAAAACATGATCATGTGACACCCACAGCACATTTATTCAGTGAGAGGGCAGACAGGAGGGCCTTTCCAAGGAGAGTTACTGAAAATTTAATTTTTGAGATGGCCTTGCTTCAGGGTGACAAGTCTCAGCTCTGGTCTTCTGAAAAAGAAGCCCTGAAAAACCACCCCATACCAAAATAAACCTACAATTCTCTGTACTTGCTGAAACAAATGATACATCACAATAAGGAAACATCTTCATTACATGCACTATCATGACCCAACACCTAGCAACACACTCTTACAGCAGCCCTTGCCCTTTTAGCTGTGCAAGCCTGCCATACCAAAGTGAAATTCTTGCACTCAATGTAATGTCCTCTATTGGACTGATTCAGGACTGGTGCCTTGTCTTAAATGGACCTGCAGAATTTGTTCGTGCAATCTAGAGCCACAGCTCTCATCAGCTGTATTTGCCAATCCAAAACATGCACAAGAAGCATATGAGAGTTTGGTAAGTATTCCTGGCAAAAAACTTTCTGTATTTTAAGTTTGGTTAATAACTCAAAATGCTTTTTGTAACTCAGATGAAAACTTGATATTTTCTGATCTTGTTTTTGTTTTTCTAAAGTTGAAAACATAGAAAATCTATTTTTATGACCAAATTTCTAGAAAAGGTTCAGACATCATGGAGACAGCCATGTCCTAAACAATATAGCAAAACATGATAAATCCAAGCTACTTACATAAGCTCTCTTGCTGCAGTGAATCAGTCATCCTCACTACTGTTGTGCATCAGGAATGTGCTGTTATGCCCATTCCCACATAGGCAGTTGCCAGACAGGGAAATTAAGTGATCTGCTTGTAATCTAATGATCACAGAACAGTAACTCATGACAAACGAGGGACATGCTGCTCCCAAGGCCGCAAACTTTTTTTCTCTCAACCCACCTGCCACTTATGCAAGAGTGCAAAAATCAAAAACAACCCTCCCAAGAAAAATGGGATGGACAAAGTCAGAGCTAAACTACTGACATTCATTCCAAAATAGCTGGCATTCACTACCAACGTAAGATGTACCTTCTAATTCACATTAATTCACTTCATGGCAGTTTCTCCACAATTGTGTCTGTGGACAAAGCCACATCCAGCTGGATGTGACAGTGAGAGACACAGATCACTTAAAATCCTGTCTACTTTGAAACACTTATTATAGAAATACTGCAGCTGACAAATACCATAACTCTAGGTACTGGACAACAGTGTTTCAATAAGGATTCTTCTGAGCTTGACCCTAGCTTTGATTTAGTTTTGCTTATATTATGGCACACACACATTTTCCGTCCTTTCCTATGCAGTACATACTTGCATGCCTTTTTCTTTTTTCTTTTTTTTTTTTTTTTTAATTCCAGAAGAATGGAGCAGAACCTTATCACCCTGAAGTAAATCCATCTTGAAAATTAAGCCTTTGGTGAAATGCTTCACTCATTTTAGCTCTAGTTCAATAAAACTTGTGCCCCTCCAAGCCCCCGTAATAACATGACCCTTCTTCATTAAACAGCTCAACCTTAAATACTCATTGCACCCTCTCCTATTTTTCATGATCATAAGCAACATAAACATTCAATCCTTTTCCAGTTCTTCCAGGCCTTTCCATTCTACAAATCACCTTCTATATAAAGCTTCCATAACCAGTGCCTTTCAGAGACAAGAGGAAAATACTTACCGGCCTTCTACAATTAAGCTAAAATAAGAACTGCATATGGGTCTGTAAAGGCAATGCTTTTGAGTCAGCCACTCAATGTCCCCTCTTTCAGGGGCATTGTAATTAGCACTGTACTGCTTAGAATTAGTGAACTGACTCTGACATCTTTCCATTAATAAAGGTACATAAAAAACCTCCACTGATTCCAAGAATCAGATCACCTCTTTCACTTCTTTTTGAAAGCTTAGCAAAAAGGGACCACTTAGCATTTAACATATCAAGACTCATATCCTTAAGATTTCCTAGGTGGTAAAGTTCACATAATAGCAAGCATTAAGCAAGCACTTTAAGATATGTCTCTGTGCCCCTTTAAACACAAATGAACTCCAACAGCTTTGTGGGTGGCCCGAACAGCTAAAGCTCTTCTACAGATAATTATCTGCAATGCTCCCAGGATGTCCTTTTCTGGTCAACACTCCCTGGCTCCTTTGCGCTCTGCCAAAGCAGCCAAGCAGAGACACAAGAAAAGACACAGATGGAGAAACAATCTCAAAGAGACAATCTAAAGATAAGGCAAAAAATTCTCCCTTGAGTCCTGTCCAGTGAGCAGCTGGTGTAGATTGTGACTTAATGACTGCCTGTTCAGACCAACTTCTTCTTCTTCTATGCACAGCTTTCCCAATTATTTTTTTTTGTAAACATTTTATCTAAGCAAAGAAACATTGAAAAAAAAAGTATTTTCAAATTAAATAAACATTGCATGCTTTGCAACATGTTTTACATCCTCTCTTGGGTCAACACTAGACCAAACTGACCTAGGCTCAGAAAAACAAAGGGAGAGAGAGAGATGATGAGAAAGCTCATCTTTCCAAATTCCTCGCTAGCTAGTGCCATGTGAGTATGCGTGTCATACATAAATTCAAGTGTGCATTCTAGAAAATACAGAATAAACCCCACCATACTGCCTAAGACAGACGGAGTGGGAAAATCATCAGTGAATAAGGATTGAGCACTCCTGAGGATAAGCAGCACAATAGCCAAAAATGCAAATAAATGGACTTTTTCACATGAGCTGCTGTAGTGGAGGACCACAAGCAGTCCATATGCTGCTCAGCTCTTGTCAATCACTCGTGGACTGATGTGCTTCACCCATAAAAAACCCTTCCAGAAGCACCAGCAGTACCATAGCAGGCCACAGCTAACAACCCCACTCATTCAGAATCTGGTCTTGAAAGATACTGAAACCTCATGGCCCACCACTATAACATCCAAAGACTTGCCTGACCCTGCTTCCTTCTCAAATGCTCTTTTCCTGTTGTACCAAGATACCCAGTATCCTGGTGCTTTGCAGGATTTGACTAACCACATTCAAATGGCTACAGTGCACTAAAGCAGAAAATTTACCTAGTTCAGGCCTTTCCAGGCCTCTTAATTTTGGAAGTCCTCTGATTCTGAAGAAAATACAGTATCTAGACAAATTCCCTCACTATTTTCAATCTGTTAAGTGCTGGATGATTTTCAAAGGAAAAAAATACCTATTGCTCCTGATGAAATGATGTGGAAATTGGATTTTTGATGCCTCCAAACACGTGACTACCTGAACACATTTTCCAAGAGGTCTGGACTGTAGCCAGGAAGAACATTTGTGGTGCTTCTATAAGAGAAGAACCCTGGGCTACAATAGGTAAGCCCTCACACAAGATGGTGCACTGAATAAAGACCATGCGCATGTTCCACAAAGACTGGCACAAATGGGCAAGTTGGTAATTCAGACTGAGGAAGGGTTTGCAGCAAAGGAAAGGATAACATGGGCAGAGATGAACAACCTACTATTGGCGTGAACCCAACATATGAAGTTAAGGGGTATTTTTATAATTTACTACATCACCAAATACAGAATCTCATTAGTGGCTTTTTTAATACTTGGCAAAGCCTTATCAGGTTATTCCAGTTCAGAGCAATTATTTTTTATTTAAACAGTGCGTACAATTTCTAGATGACTTCCTCCTAAAGGCCAAACACATTTTGTCAATACTAACAACTACTTATTTTAACCATTGTGGAGATACATAACAAAAGCAGGCTATTAAATCAGGAAGTCACCATGATGCTAATTGACATATCATTTGTAAAACTGAAAGTTGCTCCTCCACTACAAGTCTCCCCACAAATGAAAAGAAAAACAGAATAATCAACCAACCAAATTATACCCCAGAATGTGTACTGTGATGAAATTAAGATTCCCATGCAAACACTGAACTAGCTCCCTTCCAGTAAACCATTTGCTGATCCCTCATACAACCGACACATCTCAGCACATTTGGCTTTGCCATCATCACCATAAAGCAGCCAGCACTGAGGCTAGCTGCTTCCCTCTCCCCTTCTTCCTCACATATCCTCCCACTATTCCATTTAGTTTATTCCATTATTAGTTTAAGAACACTAATTTTATTACCCCTGCTACTTTTTGATCAAAAATAACCCAACCAAAAACCCAGCCCATGTGTGGCCAACTGAATTTTATTGCTGATAAAAAGCAACAAAAGAAAAATTTGCCACTGCGATGATTCATAGCAACATCTCCTGGCCATAGGAAATAATATGGCCCAGCAAAGCATTGCAGCATTAACGAACCATTCAAAACCACCCCTTATTTGGATGAAGATGATACTGGCAGGATTAGATTTCTCTGTTTGGATTTGAATGCATCTGAGGATGCTCCCAAACCACCTCTTCCTTTACCAGTAGGTCATCGCCATCTTCCTCTACAGCTATACACAAAATATATTGGCCACTTACCCTGTAGACCTCCTCAAGCAGCAGTTTAGCACAATTCTGGCCAAGTTCCTCAGGAAGCACAGCTGCTCCCTGCCCCTGAGGGTTTGAGGCTAACTCAGCACTGAGAACACTGCCATTGATGGTTTCTGCTACAAGGCACAGGCCAAAACCTGGTGATCTGAAAGAAAAGGAAAAAAAAAAAAAAAAAATTGAGTAAGAAACCAACTATTCCCAGTCAACCTTCTCCTTAAGTCACAAACAGCTCCTCTCAGAGGAGAATACTGTGAAACTGGACTTTCTGACAAATTTCCTGTTCTATACATTCAATTCGCCCTGGGAAGAACATAACAAACATTAATGACAGTATTTAAAAGTCTGACCCTGTGCCATTTGCCCCAAAATCCACTGTGCTGGTTATTCCTGGCACAGACAACAACAAAAGAATAAACCATCCCAACCTCCTCTACTAAAAAAAGGAAAAAATAAAAATAAGATACTGGTCTTCCACATTTATTTAACACATGTTTGATGTACATTTCAAAGGTATCTGGAGTTCCTCCTCTGCAACATTGAAAACGCAAAAGTTTCTTAAGGGATGAAGCTATTCCCCTGAAAGCTTCAATATTTAGCAGGCATTTATACAGCAGCAAGAAGGAGAATAATTAAAAAAAAAAAAAAGTTTGATCCACGTTCCTTGCATTTGAAATCACTTATTTTCACTTTCAGTTCAATACTATCCAAATCATTACAACCATGTAAGAATTCTGAACATACGATTTAATGAAAGAAACAAAACCCCCTATTTTCCTTAAAGCTTAAGATCCTCCAAATGCTACTGTGAGAGTTAAGACAAACTTCTGCTACAGGAAAAATCACAGAGGGCTGAATACAACTTGCTGAGAAGTCAAAAGGTTGTTAAGGAAGGAAGTCACATGATCCTCTTATTTATAGTCTCTGGAAGAGCAACAATAGCTAGCCATTCAAAATATGGCTAACTTAACTTCACTCAACATACAAGATTTCCAAGTTTTGGGTTCCTGCTGTCTCCACTACCCAAACTTTTTAATTAAAATAGTCCCACTGATCCAAAACTGTGAGGAATGTCATCAACAACACACATAACCAAACCACCACTAAACACAAACTCTCCCAGTGCCAGAAAAACAACAGTTCCTTCAGAGGCGTATCAGTAGGGTGGGAACAAAAGAAATAATGGGTGGGAAGCACTGATACAACTGCCTGCACTTGCTGAGCAATACAGAAATTATGTTAAAGATGTTTCTCTTCTCCTTTCCTTCCTCTGAAAGAGATCTGGAGAGCAAGACAAGAACATCAAAGGTGGGGGGCTTTTTTTAGCTAAGTATCCTTTAATAACTAACTATACCCCTGGCAGATTTTGTTAGTGTCTGGGAGCATGTGGCACTTTTCCTAAATAAGAATTAAAATCTTCCAGTGCCTCATGTATGTTCAGATAGTATTAGGAAGCACCTGCACAGACAAACCTTTTGCTGCAAATGCTTAGAACTGGGAAGTTTTGGGTTTTTTTTAGAGATACATTATAGGTGGCAGAAGATTCTCAAATAATGTATTTCCTGAGGCTTTTGGCACCATGAAAGGGATGTAGCTGGAAGCTTCATATTCTGAAATCAGGGCTTGGTTTGGCCGGCACACAGATGGGATGAACGAGTCTTTGCTGGTCTTACTCATCACTAGAGGGAGCACTGGAAACAACAAGGCATATTGCTTCCTGCCTTGTCTTGCTCTAAGACTCACAAGCACTGGGAACCATATAATAAGAAAGGCTTTGCCAAAGTGGCATGGTGTTAGCATCAGGTATACTGCAATCGCACTGGTGCCATATATTAAATGTCACAGCACAGCAGCATCAGAAACCTGTATGCATCAGCAAGGTAGAGAGGGATTCAGTTCCTCTCCCCATGCTATTCCTCTGCATGGGCTACTCGTGCAGGTAGTAAATGTAATTCTGCTGCCATAATTCATTTGACTTTTTCACTTTACAGACCCCAAAACCACACAGCTCCCAGAAGAGTTTTGTTATTCTGATGACCGTTAACAGTCTAAAACCAGAAGACTTGGATATTAAATATGATGAAGGGCTGGAAAGAGGAAAAATACTTAAAAGTGAGTAAACAAGTTTTAGATTTGTAAACTTGCAAACCTAACAAGTTTTCTTTAAGGTAATATTTCAAGAAGCAGAAACAGTGAAAAGAAAATGTGCATACTTGGATTTGAGCATACAGACAGAAGACAAACTAGTTAAGTAGAACTCCTTCAACCTCAACGAAAAGTAACAAGAGGACATCAAGCTGACAGACATCAGTAGAGCTGTCTGAATCACATCATCACTTCTGTGTTCTGATGGCAAACAAAATATGTTTAAGTACAGTAAACTGATGTCTCCAATTTCCAGTCCTCACTGGTGGAAGGACACTCCTTCAGCTATTTATGTAAGGGTAAAGCAGAAAACAGCTCAAACACTTTTAGAACAGTTTGGTCCCAATTCCATTAGGATATGTATAGTCAAGCTTGAGTGCTGGTTTTCACAACACACCTCTGATCTTAATCTCATTTCAAAGCAACAGGTTTAGAACTGAAGAGAGCTCAAGTCACCTTTAGTGCCAGTAATGATGTCGTATTACATTCCTTGAAAACACACAACTTCTATTCCTGTACCACGAGTAAAACAGAAGTATCTACTGAATCACTCAATTTCTTCCCTGTGAGGAATTTTTAAATGAATTAAAATCTATTTCAGGTCAGCAAAATAGAAGATCATGGTCTAAAAAACAATAAAAGTACAAATCAGAATACCCCAGCAGATGAACCAACACAGAATTACATTTCTGTTCCCTGTGAATACTGGCTACTTACTTTCCAGAGCTGACCCCTTTCATATGATCCGTGTAGATATAAATGTCGGGAAGGAATTTATTCAGGATGCTCCTTGCAGATTCCACTATTCTGTTTGCCATTTGTGGTGACACTCTGACAGAATATCTACATTTTCAAGCTAAGGAATTCATTGTGGTCACACAAGAAATTTAAACCAGAGACTGACAAAAGCGGACAAAAGAGGCCAAATGCATTCTATCAGGAGCTGGTTTGTTCTATGCATCCATTCCTAAGTCCTGTTCCATCTTCTGTGCTTAGGAGAAGCACACATGGATAAGTACTTTCGATAGTCTTTTGCTGATATACCTTGAAATAAGGTACACAGCACATGTGCAGAACAGTTTCATGAGAAGTAAACATCTATTCTTGAAATGCCCTTCAATAATTTAGAACTGCTGTTTTGCCAACCCATGTTTTCTTACTATGGAAAAGATCCTGTGTCCTCTCCTCTACATATACTATTTAAAAGATGGTGACGGGAGAAGTTTCTCTGAATTAGAAGCAGAAAGACAGGACTTCTTGCTGCTATCAGGTACAAATGGGGTAGATGAAATTCAGTATTTTAAGAACAGAAAAAAGTAATTTAAAAAAAGCTAAACCCATCTTTCTTCTAACTATGTTCCAGTGCTGTGAGGCTATCAAGTTCACCGGTGCTCTAGTCACTCAGCATCTGAAGGTAATGGTTCCAGGAAAGAAGAAATTACCACCTTCCTGCTCATCTCAACCCACATCTGCTCAGTATGTGGAGATGAACTGCCTTTGTTCACCCTTTCAGTCAAATGCTGCTTCAGTGATATTCCCAACAGACCTGCAAACAAAGCACAATGTGCTCCATGTTCCATCTCAACTAAAATGCAGACTCATGCTCTGCACATTTAACCACCCACCTGCACATATAAGCACACAGCAGTGCAGTGACACAGTCTCAAACTTACCAGTGAGCAGAAGGGAATTTTCTGTTCTACAGATTTCTATTACATTTTCTTGTAGAACAGGTAAACAAAAAGATTTAAGATCTTAAGGGCAAAATAATAAATTCTTAGGGGCAAAATAAGCATAATCAGAAAACTGAACATTCTGCACAGTTGGTACATTCAGTATTTCAGATGACTGTAAAAGGTTGCTGCAACACAAACTCCCCCGCTGCGAAGAAGATATGCTCAGCTGAATCATGAGCAAACAAAAATGTGCATAGGAAAGACCTAAGCACTTATCTTACCAGATGTTTTGTTTTCTACTGGCTTCAAGATGACATAATGGCTGAACTAAAATGAAACTGCTTCTCACTAGGCTTGAAAGCAAATCATTAACCCTGAGAAAAAGCTCAGGAAAATCTAAAAGAAAGCATGAAATCAAAACCTGTAGTTCACACACATCAATCAAATCCAGCGATACTGGCCCAGAACGACACTGTGTTGCTTTGTATTAACATAGAATCATAGAATGGTTAGGGTGGGAAAGGATTTTAAGATCACCTAGTTCCAACGCCCCTGCCATGGGCAGGGACACCTCACACTAGGGTCATGTTAACCAAGACTCCGTTCAACCTCACCTTGAACACTGCCAGGGATGGAGCATTTACCACTTCCTTGGGCAACCTATTCCAGTGCCTCACCACCCTCACAGTGAAGAACTTCTTCCTTATATCTAACCTAAACTTCTCCTAAACTTTAGTGACCCAATGGCACTAAAGCCATGATCATTGCTTCTCCCTTCATGCAGAACCTGAGGATAATACTTGCTACAGAGGTAGATAAAGGCATAAGGAAATTATTTTCTTCATGGAAAGACCATGACAACAACCACCAAAATCATAAGGAGCTGCCTCCTTTTTATTCTGCAGCACATATACCCAGTAAAATTGCCAAATGCATTCAAATGCTGCAGTTGGACACAAAGGTCAAAGTGTCCTGTTCTCACACACAATTATGGTGGTATGCCATAAAGTAAAAAGAATAGGCTGCAAGTCTGCACCTCTGGCAGGAAACCCACCCCCATTCCTGCTTTCCTTTTGAGTCATCACAGCAGATTCACAAAGGATACCATATAGAAACCACAAGAGAAAAAAAACACCAAACCCAAAATATTAACTAGATGTGCAGTCCTGTTTGCAAAAGTGAATGCTCCACAACAATATTCTGTGCCCTTATCTTTGTGAAGTAGAACCTCTTCCATTTCCAGATCTAATGGTACTACTGAAAGTGAAGTGCTAACAAGCTTTTCGTAACACAAAAAGCTCAGTTCAAATACGTGCAGTGAGGTATGAACTGAACTAAGCCTTAAGCTCCCATCTAACATTCTGCAAGACTCATTAATAGCTAAGGTGTTCAATGCATAAGAAAACTATTGCATTTACACAAAAGAATCCTATTTTACTGCTATGTAATGGAAATTGTTTTAATTTTTTCTTGCTATTGAAAAGATTTGAAATAGTGCTGTTCAGTTTCAAATATATTTGTCTATTGATGCTTTTTGAACAGCAGCGTTCTGAACACAGCAGTTTTGAGACACCTGAAATCTAGTTGTGTGATCGATCATTCTGTGCAGTGTCACCCTGTTATCTGGATACAGGCTCAGCAACATGGGTTTATTTCTGTGACTTCAAGTTGCGAGACTTACATTTTTGAGGAAAAATCATTTAAAAGAAGAAAAGCAAATAAACAAAAAAGGATACGCAGTTCCTCTGATGCGCTTGATTTTGCCTGGGTCTGTAAACTGAATAGGCTGCAAAACCCTTCTCACTGGGCAAGCAAACACTATTTCTCCACCCCCTTTGGGAGGCATTCCTCTCCGGTTGATCTAGGAATAACAGAGGGGAAAAAAAAGTTAGTAAAAAAAAGTAAATAAAAAAGAAAAAAAAGGTTAGTAAAGAGCACAAAGAACGTACTTACATACTAAAAAATTACAGCTTTTATTTCACATATAATAAAATGTTATCAGTAGGAGTATTATGTAAACACGGGCAAGTAAAAGATACCCTAAAGGCAGAAACGGATTTTGCACCAAACCTGTAAGCAAAAATCGGTTTCTTTTTATCTCCTCTCTCAAGTATAGTAGGGTATGGCTTCTCAATGGAAAACAAAACCAACCAAATAAAACCCCAGCATCTTTACCAGGAAGGCAACCTTGGTTTAAGCTGATCTCTTAATAGAAAATCTGTACCTCATCACTGAAGACAGTATGTGTTTGATGCCTGATATGTATATGGGGGACAAGAATGAACTCATTCCCACAGACAGGCCTGGCCAGACCAACTCTGTCCCATTGCCCCAGCCAGTGTCCACAGGGATGGGGATGGGACATGGGTCTGGGGTGGGGTCTAAGTTAGGGGGCTTATGGCCAGGCAGTGCTGTGAGGAGCTGGAGACAGACCCTGCTGCAGGGGCTGATAATCCCAGAGTGGTAACATGGAGTCCATGGGCAGCGTTGAGGGAGGTACTTGGGGTGGGGGCTCAGCAGAGACTAGTAAAGCAAAGACTAGTAGTGCAGCTAGAGCCTTCACACTTCACACAAAGTTAAGAACACGTGAGTGTTCTTAACTTTGAAAGTTTAGAGTCTCTTTCTCCAATCTAAACCAAAACAAAGTAAGTATATTCTACATTCAGATTTATTTGGCTTATGAAGAATCAAGAATGCTTCTCAGCCTACGGAGATCTAAGACTCAGTGCTTTCTCCTTACCCTTTCTACCTATAGTCTTTGTGTCTCTTCTACCCTATCTTCAATCACTGTGTGGCTGGTATGCCCTCTAAAATATGGTAAGAACTAGAAGCAACTTTAGAAATGTGTGTAACTGCAACTAGGGCAGATACCAGCAGCAAGCATATGGCCCTGTGAATCAGTGCAAAACTATCCTTTTAACATGTGCTAGAAAAGAAAGGAAAAAATCATCTTACCTTGATTTCCAGACTTTTACCATCAATGCCAAACTTCTTCAGTAGGGGTATAGCTGTTGCCTTAAGGACATCAACCTATATAACAAAGAAATAAGAAAGCAGACTCTTTATTGAAAGTTACGTAAGCCAGTAATTTAAAAATCACTGCATTACAAGTTGCCTAACAAAGACAAGACTTCTCCATACTGGTATTTTATGGGAAGACATGAGAATGAAGCACAGAGTGCTTTGGCTACTCTGAGACTACCACAGTATCCCATTACCCAAAAAGCTGCTAGAACAAGATACTGGTAGATGGAACTTCCTAATCTGGATTTGATCTCCAGCCTGATTTTTACTTCTACTACGATTCAGCTAAAACAGCTGATTTGTTTTTCTGAACATACTTATTGAAAAGAATTATATTTCTCTGTCGTTGCTAAAATATTCTTACAGCTAAGTAAATGACTGCAAAAACTTTTGCATTTTGGAGCAGGCCCTTGATTTAGCAGGAAAAATGTCATCCTTCTGTCAAGAACTTCTTTTTGTCCGTTTATGAGAAACAGAAGCTTCCAGTTAACTTCTCTTGAAACACTTAGAAGAATCTAAAGTGGGTGACACATCCATGTACACCCTTTGATCCAAATGCTCACCAGATCCAGGTCTAAGCAATATTTTATTTGCAATTGCTCCTCCTAATTGCTGGGTTAAGACAACACTGACAGCCATCATCTTCCCTCTGCTGAAACTTAAGTAGTATTGCCAAAAGTGACAAAAATGATTTAGCAGTGCAACAGCGTAGGGAGTTACTGAAGACAAGCAGCTTGGGAGAGACAGGACCAGGACAGCATGACCCAAGAGAAACTAAATTTGGGTGAAGGAAGACAGCAGTTGTGGAGGCAGGAAAAAAAACCTTAGACTTCTTCCCATGCCTTCAGCCAGAACCACAATTTGAGTTTCACTCTCTCTTTGCAAGCCACTGACAAAGTAGCTCATACCTCACCTACAAAGCTGTGAAAAACCTGTTAGAAATACCTGAGTAGCTACAAGCATATGCTGCAGTTCTCATTTATGAAACTCTACTGGCCTACACACTTCCTTTCTTACAGAGAGGCATTTGGCAGTATTTTTAATGATAGTGTCAATATTCAAATATTGACACAAAAATTCAAATATTGACACAAAAATAAAAAACATCTTTATATCAATTATTAATTGTTTTTATATTTATGTATTCTTTTTACAACCAGGCTACCTTAATTTGGCCTCTCAGCAATATTCATTAATCACACAAATTAGACTTTCAGAGCAAAAACCTTTACTAAAATGCATGTGCACACAGACAGGCACACATGAATACCACTGGCAGAAGTTCCAACAAGCTGATCTGGTTCACGTTAAACTTATACAATATTCCTTCCTCTTTCTTATGAAACAAAATATACCAGTAAAGAAAGAAAAGCTTCAGTGTGTCAGCTAGGAACTGCCTTTCCCTCCTTCATTTCTGCTTTTCCAATTCTTTGGACTGAAGTCTGCATCTCTGGAGAAGTCATGCTGCATTAGCATTAGGAAGCTGGATCAATCTTGAGTCTGCTTTATCTGTCTCCCAAACTTTCAAGACTTGTCATAGCTTTTAGGCCTCAGACAAATTCCAGGTATGATACTTACGAAGTAACAGACAGAAACATAATAAGAGACTGTCTCTATTCCAAATCTGTGGCCTAAATAGAGAAGCATTTAAGAAGTGGAGACAGCTGTCCTACATAGTAGATGAGTGGGACGTCAGGCAGAAGTTAAGTACTTCACTGGAAGACACAAGGCAGTAGCAGAACTGAGACCTAAAACTGTATTTCCTACATTCAGTCATAAAACCATCCTTCAGCCCCTCTTGCAGGGCAGTTACTCTATTTCCAGAGTGGACTACACAACACCAAGTTGCACCAAAGCAAATGCACCAAACCACCAAAGGCCTCGCTACAAATACCAGCCACTTGCTAAGTCCCATAGACATTGCTTGTTCACAAATTACTATAAATACAAACTTTGCTCCTTCCAAAGACATCTACAACGAGTTAAAAAAAAAGAAAAAAAAGAAAGCCAGCATGAAAACAATTTCAGTTGAAAGACCCATGGAATAGCTGCATAAAAACTTCAACATTCACAAACTCAAACATTAAGAACAATTATTGTAAAGTCAGGTTACTGCAGCACTATGTCAGGATAACAGTATGTAGAGAAGGAAAGTTAACTAAGAGCTATAATTTGCACGCCACCTCCACTGCCTTCAAAAGGCACTTCACAAAGACACCCGCACATACATTCTACATGGAGAAACTGGAAACTGCCGCAACTCTATAGTCCAGTCCCACATGGCTGGTCCCACAAACTCTCCATGGTCAAGTATCATCAGCAGTCACACATTAAAACATAATGCAGATATAGGCTGCCAGTGAACAGTTCAGGCAGGTACTCAAAAGTCACATCTCCTACTGGCAAGGGTGAGTCAAAGCAGCATCCCTCTCACTCATTTATGATGTATTACTCACTGACTGCTTTCACCAAGGTCCAACCTGAGCAAGTGCACAGTATCACAGTATCACACAGTTTGTTAGAGATTGGAAGGGACCTCAAAAGATCATCTAGTCCAATCCCCCTGCCGGAGCAGGAACACCTAGATAAGGTTACACAGGAACGTGTCCAGGTGGGTTTTGAATGTCTCCAGAGAAGGAGACTCCACAGCCTCCCTGGGCAGCCTGTTCCAGTGTTCTGTCACCCTCACTGAGAAGAAGTTTCTTCTCAAGTTTAAGTGGAACCTCTTGTGTTCCAGTTTGTACCCATTGCCCCTTATCCTATCATTGTTTGCCACTGAGAAGAGCCTGGCTCCATCCTCGTGACACTCCCCCTTTATATATTTATATACACTAATAAGGTCACCCCTCAATCTCCTCTTCTCCAAACTATAAAGACCCAGCTCCCTCAGTCTTTCCTCATAAGGGAGATGCTCCACTCCCTTAATCATCTTAGTTGCCCTGCGCTGGACTCTCTCCAGCAGGTCCCTGTCCTTCTTAAACTGAGGGGCCCAGAACTGGACACAGTATTCCAGATGAGGTCTCACCAGGGCCGAGTAGAGGGGAAGGAGAACCTCTCTCGACCTACTAACCACCCCCCTTCTAATACAACCCAGGATGCCATTGGCCTTCTTGGCCACAAGGGCACAGTGTCGGCTCATGGTCACCCTGTCATCCACCAGGACCCCCAGGTCCCTCTCCCCTACACTGCTCTCTAACAGGTCGTTCCCAAACCTATACTGGAACCTGGGGTTGTTCCTGCCCAGACGGAGGACCCTACTCTTTCCCTTGTTATGTTTCATCAAGCACATTACGTTCTATTTCACTGGCCACAGTACTCTTTCAGAACAGTGCCAGCTGCCAGAGCTTTCCACTGCACCCGACTGGAGGGCTATATATATATAAAAACAAATGCTAACAGAAACACATACTCGTATTTGTATTGTAGAAACTCAGCCTGACGTGCACCTCACTGATACAAGGAGGAAATTCTTTCCTGTTAGGGTGGTAAGGCACTGGAATAGGTTGCACAGGGAGGCTGTGAATGCTCCATCCCTGGTAGTGTTCAAGGCCAGGTTGGACGAGGCCTTAGGTGATATAGTTTAGAGCGACGTGTCCCTGCCTATGGCAGGGGGGTTGGAACTTGATGATCTTAAGGTCCTTTCCAACCCTAACTAGTCTATGATTCTACGTCTTCCCGTCCACAAGCCAATCTTCAGAAACAACCCTCCTCTCACCTTGACCGCTTTCACTCTCCCCACACCAGGAAATCTGCCATGTTCCCTCTGCCCTGGTAAGGGGTCTCTGTCAAAGAACAACCTCAAACCCACAACACAGCAATCCCATCCCACAGGTTATTTTGACGCTGTGTGAAATCTGAGTGGATTTCAGAAAGCCCAGCAGAGGTCAGCCTATCTGCTAGCTGCTACCATGAGGTAAAGGTCCCACTTTTCTGACTGCACACTTATTCCTGCTATTTACTTTGTGAATGCCTCCTTGAGAAGATGCAGGCTTACAGCTCTTTAACTTTTTGCCAGTTAGTTGAGCTGGCATAGGGAAGCCTCTGAAAAGTGTGCGGGTACTCGAGTATGTAGGACTATGCATATTGTGCATTTCAGCAGATGGCTGAAATCAGATATCGAGGGAAGATGAGCAGGACTGCCTTCTCCTTTCAAGCACAAACACCTTCTGCCTACTAAAAAACATACGCTCAAATAAATTTAAAATCAAGTTACCATTTACTTAAGCATTAAAAAACAGGGTAGCACCTAAACTTGTGTTTTTAATTTTAGCAACCTGCAGAGCTATATGCTACACAAAACACCTGGTGAAATTCCTTAAAGTAGTTTACTGATGTGCACAAAGTTTAGTGTTTACTCAGGCAATAAAAAAGACATAAACAAGGTTTTAACCCATTTTAGGAACTGGTATTTAGTTACTGACACTTAAAATGTTACCACACGAGAGTCACACTAATGACAGCTGTGCTTCTATAGCACAATGAAGTTAAGATACAACTCCTTAGCATAGAATCATAGAATGTTTCTGGTTGGAAAGGACCTTAAAATCATCTAGTTCCAACCCCCTGCCATGAGCAAGGATGCCTCACACTAAACTGTGTCACCCAAGGCTCTGTCCAGCCTGGCCTTGAACATTGCCAGGGATGAAGCATTTACCACTTCTCTGGGCAACCTGTCCCAATGCCTCACCACCTTCACAGAAAAGAATTTCTTCCTTGTATCTAACATAAATCTTCCTTGTTCCAGTTTAAACCCATTACCCCTTGTCTTATCACTACTGTCCCTAATGAAGAGCTCCTGCCCGTCATCCTTGTAGGCCCCCTTTAGATACTGGAAGGCTGCTATGAGGTCTCCATGCAGCCTTCTCTTCTCCAGGCTGAACAGCCCCAACTTTCTCAGCCTGTCTTCATACGGGAGGTGCTCCAGTCCCCTGATCATCCTCAAGGTCTCCTTTGGACTTGCTCCAACAGCTCCATATCCTTCTTATGTTAAGGACACCAGAACTCAAGTGGGATCTTAGGAGAGCAGAGTACAGGGGCAGGATCACCTCCTTTGACCTGCTGGTCATGCATGCACATCTGCATTTATTTACATTTAGTGTCAAATCATATATGTCTCAACTTTGGCCGGTCAAGCCCCCTTCAAGTAAAAACTAACTGACTCAAATTCTTGCACCCAGTTCAGATAAAATTGTTTAAGCTCTATGGGCCCATGTGGGTAACTGACATAATGAAGATGAGTTGCTTTGATGGGTGTCCAAACTTACTTGAAAGCAGTGTCAAAACTGGACTGCTCTTGGTCTGCAAATTCTTCAAGAAGTCCTCCATTGTGATTAAGAAGATGCAGTCAACCAAAACAGACATATTTTGATTCTTACTACTTAAGTACTTTTCATCATGGTGGTTGAAAAGTTAAGAAAGCATGAATTCCATTTTGGTTTTTATCCCCCTTTTTTCTTTGTGACAATGCTCTGTATAACTCACGTCAATCATCGTTTGGCCCATCTGGGTCTCACAGAACCACAGGTGAGAGAATGAGTTTTTTAAATGACAAGAGTAGACAGCTGAAAAGTTGTAAATACCAGCAGGACTCAGAGGCTCATTAAATATATGCAGCTACAACTCACAGTAATCATATTCATTTAGACTGGTTATATTTTCAAATGACAATGTGTCTAGAGAAAAGGCAGTCTCCAAAAACCATTCAATAGGTAAACAGCAGTGCTGTTCTCCAAAAGGTTTTTTTGGGGAGCGAAGTATAATCATTAAGCATTAGTTCAGTGTTTTAATCCTGTCTTATCCATAGCTCTACTATTAAAATAAAGGACTGTAAATCAGCAGTAACAGAACTCAAGGCAATTTCAAAGTAATTTGATCTACCACACCTTCTAGAGTCTTTCTAAAGAATCAAAGTGATTACGTATTTTTGCTACTGTAATTTCATAATTGTCATGTGATATCTGTTTCTAACAGAAAGAGGCTTCACAACGGCATGGTATAACCATGTCCAATATCCAACAGAAGGGAAAGATACCTGCCTTGTCACACTCAAAGACTATTTCCTCTTTTTACAGTAAAAAAAAATGTGGGGTATGAAAAACAACCCATCTAATTTCTAACAGAACAGGAAAAGCAAACGACTGGCATGGTTTCACCCTGCATTTAAGGGAGCTTCCAAGGGAGAAGACAGAAGAGTACAGAACTAGAAGTCAAAAGGTGGATTACAAACTGCAGTGTGGAGGTGATGAAGGAAGGGAACAGTTTAGCAGATGCCTGTTTGATTCAAAGAGTTTGCTGGCAGATGCAGTAGGCAGGTGCACTGGAGAGTTCTGTGTATGAGGGATAATAAAAATTAATCATATTTTAGACATTTCTTCCTAATATATTTTTTAAGGAAGAAATCCTCCTCAGTTACTTAAATTTTATTACATACCGAAGGATCTACTTGGTCATTTGTTACTCCCCTCAGGACAATCTTCAATGGATGCTTCATGAAAGGTGCCAAGCAGAGCAGACTTTCCAAATAGTAGCCAATACCACGAGTGGGGCTGCAGTCATGTTCCAATGAGCCGCCATACAGAAGACCAGGCTGATAATACAGGGTAGTACCTGGGGAAGATGCCAGGTGAGCAAAACAAATTCGAGCACTACCAGCATGCTTGCCATCACTACAGCATAAAGACAGTTTGCAATGATGTATACAAAAAATTGCAAACAGAAGAATTTATGACAGATGGTAGCACTTCCAGCAGGCTATTTCTGTCTGCAGTTAATAAACAGACCAATGTGTGTCTGTCTTTCTCACACATCACGTCTTTTTTCCCCCCTTCTCCCCCAGACTCAAGGGTCTCTTAGCCATTCCCAAAATGCTGATACAAGCAGGTATTATACCCCACAGCAGCCAAATATTCACCAGACCATCAAGTCATCATGGTCTTAGCATATCTGGTGGTAGTTCATCTGCTTACTGACCAACCACAATCCTTAAAATCCTTAAAAAAAAAAAAACAAAAAAAAAACAAAAAAAAAAAAAAAAACCAAACAAAAACAAAAAACCAAAACCACAAAGAAACCAAAAAAATCCCCCACAACCTAATCAGCTAACCAACTAACCCACCAACCCAGAAAAGGACAAGAACCAGATGAAGTTTTTAGGTGGGATGCTTCTCACTCAAACCAGCCCCTTTTCTGAGCATGACTAGGCAGTCTTGCTTCAAAGTTTACCTTTGTAGAAGTCAAATGCTGCCTTCTACAAAAAAATATTCTGCTTCAGAGAGACCTTCCCCCACTACAAAATCCTGCGTACCAAATAAAATATTAATTTTTGTTCTTAGTCAATATAGTTTTTTTAACTCTGCATTTTGGTGGAGCGCTGGTCTTCGTGGATGCAATCAATCATTAAACAACTTCTCAGCTTGGTTATTTCTGATCTTCTCAGTGATATCTGAACACCTACCTGTGCCAAGCTGAAACTCTGATTTCACGACAGGAATTGACAAAAGGCCAGAAGACCAGAACAGCAAAAGACTACAGATCTCACCTGTCTGGTTTATTTCAATCCGAGAACCATTGGTCACTTTGTCTATCAGGCGAATAAAACTGGCTTCGAAATCTAAGGAGTAGAACAAAGACAGAATTTTAAAATGCCTTAAATTTATTCCTGGAAAAACAATAAGAAACTTCAACTCAACACTTGTACATTCTCCCTTCCCTGCCTTTTGTGACAGTAAGGCTACCCTCACTCTTCAACTTGCTATAATTCTACCACATGAGAAAAGGCGATTAGCTATAATATCAGATGTTAATTTGAGCCTCCACGCGTACAGGCATCTCAAATCAACTGGGATGCCCCTACGTGACACTCCTCGACCCAGAATGCAGTGAGTGATATAAGCTAACAATTCTGACCACAGAGCTACCTGCAGAAACTACAGTTTTTTAGTATTTGCATAATATAGTTGATGGCCTGGTCACACAGTGCTCGTTCTTCTCTCTGTCAGGATAATTTCTAAACCCAAAGTTTACATGACAGTGCTGGGACCTCTTCCAGCACAAGAGTGCATCCTTGTGAACACATCTCTCCCTCTTGGCCAACAAACCTGTAGAAGAGTTTTCACTGCAGACATTCCAGTCACGAAAAGCAGAGAGAACTGCATGCTGAATCACCAACACAGGTCAGGGCCTGTTATTATTCTTCTGTTATAGTTACAGTTTACACTCTAACCCATATATGAAAAAGGCAATCAAACACCTTTTTTAAAATAACACATGGCAAACCCTATAACTTTTAACACCATCAAACATCCCATGGTAATGACAAATACTTTGGGTCACGGCAGATGTTACAGAAAGCACACAGGAATGTTTTAACAGTAAGAATTTCTATCTATGAACGGAAGCCTCCTCAGGAGGCAGAGTAGTACCTATGCTGGTCCTACCCCTTTTCTTAATTTTGTACCTTGAACAAAAAATAACTGAGCACCACAATAATGTTTTTTCCTCAACCTCTATTCTACTATCTCCTTACTTCAGTTTAACAAGCACATTTGCTTTGGGGTGCCAAAGTTCCTGTGTGGGAAAGAAGAGAGTACTCCCTATGCAGGGCTTCCCTCAAAGGGTCCAGAGTGTCAGCAACTTTCAAAAATGAGAACTAAATGAACTTCACATGTTTCACTTTTACTGCTATTTGGGCAAACCCCAGATACAAATCGAAGCATAAAACCAGATCCACTGAAACTGTGGGAACTTGGGCTCCCATGGAGGGATGTGGAGCTTGATGCTGGGCATGCAGTTGAAAGTGACGGCCGAAAAGCCAACAGAGCCTGCACCTTTCGCGTGAAGAGCCCAGCTGTACAGCGAGCGGGACTCGCACCATGCCGGAGAAGACGTGTGGCCCCGGGTGAGGGCACAGCCGCGGGGGCCGCCGCCACCACAGGTCTGTCTCTCCGCCGCACACCGGCTTCCCTCGACACACGGCGAGGGCCACCCCCTCCTCGCCTTTCATCCCCCGTGCCTCACCCCAACCGCACACCCGATATCCACGAGGACAGCCCAGGGTGCGCAGGCCGTCCGGAGGAGACACCAGCACCACCGCCACCTCGGTGTTTCCCGCCAGTAAGATGCCAGGGCCGCCCACTGCCACCCCCCCACCTCTCCCCTGGCGTCAGCCAGGGCCCCCGCTCACCGCGGAGCCCGGGATCCTCCTCCTTGGCGCGGATCTTACGAATCTTAAGGGGCCGCCCGCTGAGCGTAGCCAGCACAAGGCGCTGCCGCAGGAAGTTGCAGCCCGCGTATCTGAGGCACTGCGTCTCCCCCGCCATGCCGCAAACACGCGGTGGCGCGCAGGAAGTGCGCAAGAAGCGCTGCGGTCAAAGGGTGCCGTTACGGCCGCTATGGGGCGGTGCTGGATGGGGCGGGGCGAGGTGTAGAGGGGCTGTAGCCGTTGTCGCCTTTACTCGCTTTCAGCAGGGACTGTGCCGCTGGTGGCATTCATCCCGACAGCCAGCGGGGCCGACCTTGGAAAGGTGAGTCGGTTGATAGCAGGGCGGTAGCCATTACCTCTGCTCTTGTTTCTGCTCCCCATATCTTCACAGTTTTAACCGAAGATTAAAACGTTTAAAAGCATCGATGTCTGAGTAACTGGAGCCGGTCCCTCGGCGGGCGCCCCGCTCCTCGCTGAGGCTCGAGACCGACACGGTGGCGGCGGCGGCGTCATCGCTGCACCGCGGAGCGTGACGGGGCGGATGCGCCGGGGGCCTCCCGCGCCACAGCGGGTTAGTTTCTGGGAGGGGGTTCCTTCAGCCACCCTTTTCGGGAATGGGCGGGGTCTCCAGCCTTGACGTCATCCAGTTTGACAGCCTTCATGGCAGTGGCATAGCCTTCGGTCCTTTGAGAGAGACTGAGTGAAGCTTCCAGTCTGTATTTTCTGAAGAACGGGGGTTATAGCAGAGGTGTTAATGACAGCTCATAGAGTTGTGGAAGGGTTTGGGTTGGAAAGGGCATTAAAGATCACCTTGTTCCAACCCCCCTGCCACAGGCAAAGACACCTTCCACTAGACTATGTTGCTACAAGCCCCGTCCAGCCTGGACACTGCCATGGATGGGGCAGCCACAGCTTCTCTGGGTAACCTGTGCCAGGGCCTCACCACCCTCATAGTGAAGAATTTCTTTCTAAGATCTAATCTGAATCTCCTCTCTTTCAGTTTAAAACCATTCCCCCTTGTCCTGTCACTAGAGGCCCCTGTAAAAAGTCCCTCTCCAGGTTTTCTGCAGGCTCCCTTTAGGCACTGGGGAAGCTGCTCCAAGGTCTGTCCTGAGCCTTCTCCACGCTGAACAAGCCCAAGTCTCTCAGCCTGTCTCCATAGCAGAGGTGCCCCAGCCTCTTTGTGGCCTCCTCTAGACTCACTTGAGCAGATCCACATATCTCTTGTGCTGAGGGTCCCTGAGCTGGATGCAGCACTGCAGGTGGGGTCTCAGCAGAGCAGAGCAGAGGGGCAGGATCAACCTCCCTTGACCTGGTGTTCACACTCCTTCTGACACAACACCAAAAAAAGGCTGGTACCTGGGCTGCGAGCGCACACTGTGGGGTCATGTTGAGCTTCTCATCAGCAAACACTCCCAAGCCCTTGTCAGGGCTGTTCTCAATCCAGTCTCTGCCCAGCCCATAGTGGTGCCTGGGATTGTCCCGACCCTGGTGCAGGACCTTGCACTTGGCTTTGTGAGGTTTCCACTGTCCCACCAGGTCCCTCTGGATGACATCCCTTCCCTCCAGTGTGTCGACCCCACCACACAGCTTGGTGTCATCGGCAGACCTGCTAATGGCGCATCAATACCGCTCTCCATGTCATCGCCAAAGATGTTCAACAGAACTGGTCCCAACACTGATCCCTGAGGGACACCACCTGTTACCCATCTCCACCTGGACATTGAGCCATTGACCACAACTGTCTTTGTGTGGCCATCCACCCAGTTAATTATCCACTGAGCAATCCATCCATGAAATCCATGCCCCTCTCTAAACCGGGAGACGCATGGATTCACAGGAATTGGCTGGCTCATGCCAGAGGAGTCACTGGGGTGCGTGGGCCAGCCCATATGGAGTCATTGTGGTGTCCTGGGTGCTCATGCCTCTCACTGAGGGTGGAAGCACGCAGCAGCCCCTGGGCACATGCCTGGAGCCCCTTTGGTGACCGGAGCTCCCCATGACAATGTGGAGACAGAGGGACAGAGCAAGCCAAAGCCCCATGCAGCCCCAGCCCCAGCATGGTGTAACCCAGAGGCAGCACCCCTTTGCTTCCCCATGGGAACCTTCAGCTGACAGGGTTAAACCAAAGACCGAGGCTTTATTTCAAAGCATGACCCCACATGGAATGGAGCTGAGTCAGTTTGGCTTGGCTGTCCCAGCTCCTGCCTACCCGCACAGCCTACTCAATGGGGGACACCCAGAGAGAAACCAAACAAGCCTTGAGCTGCGCAGGCACAGGCCAGCACCAGAGGAACGCTGGTGTATTTTTGGCACTGGCTAGTCACAAATGGAACCCAGAGCACTAAGTGTGCAGCGGGGTGTGTCCCTGCCCCTTGCTCACCTGTGATGTCACAATCATGGCTGCACATCGTGTGGAGCCAGGAACCTGTGACATCAAGGTGGCTCCTACAGCAATTGGGCCACCACCTCCTGCCTGGTGGGAGTTTGCTGTGTCCTGGTGGCTGTGTGCCTGTGTCTGGCGTTCTCCTCCTGGCAGCTGGTTTGGGGCTCTTGCCCAAGTGCCCTCCCCCAGCCAGGCAACACTCCTGCTTCGGAAGGAGGACAGACAGGCTTGCAGGGGAGCTTCCTTTGTCCCCAAGATGAGAAGGGCTCCTCCAAGAGCGCAGCGCGCTGCCCGCGTGAGGACAGCCAGCAGCAGCAGGGACAGACGTGCAGCTGGGCACGTTCAGGTCCACAGGAGCAGGTACAAGGTTTCTCCTGGGACCATCAGCTGGAGGGTCAGGATACCAGAGCCTACAGCAGGGGGTGGGGGGACACGACGGAGGAGCTGGCAAACGCTGTGGGCAGCACAGCAGTCCCAGGGCTTGGGAAAACCACTGTGAGTGGGGAAGAGGCCCAGCTGAAAGCCCCTCTGGCCCCTGGGGCCAAACCCCACTCTCCTGCTGGAGGGCTCTGGTTGTGAAGCTGCAGAGGCCCTGGAAGGAAGAGGGGTCTTTGGAGGAGGGCAGCTGCTCCCCTCTGCCCATGGGCCTGTCTTCTGGCCAGGGCCTTGGCTCATGAGGCCAGAAGGCAGTGCCAAACAGTGTCCTGCCTTTTCCGTCCCATAGGTGCCGCCCCTCTCAGGAGGACCAGGGGACCAGCTCCGAAGAGCCAGCACGCTGCGGCTGCAGTGCTGCAGACACAGAGCGTAAGTTCAGCGCTGCCTTTCACCCCATGCTTGCACCAGGCCTGCCTGGCTCATCTGGGACCAACAGCCCCCAACAGCCAGTACCATCCTGCTCCAGGAGCGGCCTGGGGCCATTCTGCCTATGTGACCATGACGGAGCTGGCCACTGTGTCTGTAATAACCATGGGGCTACTGTAATAACCACAGGGCACCCCCGTGCATTAGAGATGCAGGGCCCGAAGCCTCATCCACAGTCCTTCCCCAGCCTTGCTGTCAGCGGCCTGCCTGCAAGGGGATCCTACCGGGCCTCCGGCGAGAAACAAGCTGTCCCCTCCAGGGCATAAGCCTGCCCTGTCCCAGTCCCACAGGAAGGAAGTGTGCAGGCCCAGCATCCATGTCCTCGCAGGGGTCGGCCATACCCCAGACGGGGCTCCTCAAAAAGGCTCCTCAGGCTTTTCTCCCATTTCTTTGCCCAGGGATGGTATTCAGCCTTGCTTCCAGAATGGCAAGGGCCGTGATCTTCCTTCAGAGATGGCTCAGAACAGGCATCTCCATCCTGTGAGTACAACAAGTGTCTATTACTGACGTGGAGCTTGGGGGTGCCAGAGGGTCAGGGTGGTCAGAAGGGAAGCTGGTGGTGCTCCCCAGCAGGAGAACCCCTGGCTCCCCTGCAAATTGTTGTTCAGCTGGTAAGAGAAATTCCTCTGGGCAGGGCTCTGCCTTGAGCACTGCTAACCCCAGGACTCTCTGTTTCAGGAACGAGGGGTTCTTCATGATCTTCTGCTTGATGAGCCTCTCTGCTCTCGGTTAGTATTTACCTGCTGCCAGCAGAGGCTCAGAGGAGTGAGGGGTCAGCTTCAGTGTGAGGGAGAGGTACTGAGGGCCTGTTTGGCCCATACAACATCTCACCTTTCTGGATCTGGGAGGTCACAAGATGCTCGCTGCATGCGGATGAAATGGGGCATAGCAGTGGGATGCAAAGCCTGGAACCAGGGCTGTGCAGCGCCCCGAGGCCCAGGGCAAGAGGCCCTGCTTGGAGCTACCTCCTCTCCTGCACCCCTTTGTGGTGTCCTCGGCCAGCCTCTTGCCACCCTGGTGTGGGAGGAGACCGTGTCACTATGGGGATCTTTAGAAACGGCAGTAAAATGACTCTCATGTTGGTGTTACAGCTGGTGCCTGGTGCGGGATCTCGCTGCTCATGTGGCGGCTGCATGGAAAGAATGCGCCACAGGTCAGTGGGACAGGAAAGTCCTGCCAGGGAGCTCTGCAGGCGATGGGTGGGTGGGTGGGTGGGTGAACCACCCGGTCCTCCGTTGCCAGGCAGTGACGCAAAGCAGCGGCAGCAGCTTCTGCTGTGCCTTCCCAGAGCTGCCAGCTCGGGGAAGCGCCGTTTGCTGTGGGACTCTAACGAGAGCCTTTCCCTTCCAGGGGCAGCCTGCAGCTGACCTGAGTTCACTGTGGTAAGAGCCCTCTCCTCTCCCCAGCCCTGCAGCGTGTTTGGTGGGGATAGCACGGGCAGATGAGCCTGTGCTATTTGTTCTCACTTGCAGAGGGCCCAGAGCTCGTGTCTTCTGCTCCTGTCCGGGCCTTGTGCTAGACCTGGAGGGGGAAGGAAGCACTTGTAAACCAGGGAAAGAAACGGGCTCAAACATCACTGTCTGTGCTATTCCTGGCCTTGGAGGCTCCGCACATTGCTGGGCAGTGGTCTGACAAGGTCCCATTTCCTGACTGCAGGAACGCACCTGATGTGTGGAAAGGACAAGCGGGAGAGATGCAGAAGCTGAGGGATGAGCTGACACATCTGGCTGCAGAAATCCGCTCTATAAAGAAGGTGAACCTGCACTCTGGAAAGAGGGCTGGGCAGGAAAAGGCCACCAGCTGGCCCAGGAAGGGCCTGGTGCAGGGGGCCCCGCTCGTCCCAGCCTACACACCCCTCCCTTGCCAGGGGCTGTGGGTTGAGCTTCTGCGCTGCAGAGCCCCTTCTCCTGGCCTGCTCTGACATGGTTGTTTCCCTGTTCCTTGGTGTCTTCCCCAGGAAGTTCAGCAAATGAGAGAGGCAATATCTGAGCCCGTGGAGGTGCCTGACTGGGCTCTCAAAAGCACAGGTATGGGCAGCCCTTGGGTCCAGGCAGTTCTTGTGCTGGGCTCGTGCTTGGCGTTCCTGAAAGCAGGCAGCACTGCAGACACTGCTCTCCGAGACAGAAGTGGGACTAAACCACGGGGCCCACGAGCATGACTGTAGCAATGTGGCTCCCTCAGGCTCACCCCAGCCCTGCTGCCAGAGCCCTCACTGCTGCCTCGGCCATGCCCCTGACAGCATTTCTGCCCTCTCCCACTCTGCGGAGCATTCCTGGAGAATGAAGGCATATGGCTGCATCACCCTCTGCTGTCCACGCAGCAGGGCCTTGCTTGGGTCTGCTGCCCTTGCCGTGGGGGCTCACTGTCCCCCAGCACCCACAGATCTTCTCTTTGTGCGGCTGGGAGACAGATGCCAACACCAGGCGCAGGGATCCCCTGCGTTTCCCGGAGCACCTCTGAGCATCCAGTGCTGCATGACTTAGCAGTCACCTGCAGCCATCAGGTCCTCTGCACCTGGGGCCAGTTGCAGTCAGCTGCTCTCTTCTGCCCTCAGGGTGTACCATCAACCTGCAGAGATCATCCAGCACCTCTGCATGTCTCAGGAGGGTGTTTTGGTCCCTGTTTAGACAAGCCTTTGAGGATACCTTTGTGCAGGTACAGTAGCAGAAACTGTCAGTGTTGCTTCTTTTGCCCCTCTGGATCAAGCTGGGGACAAGCCCTGGGTCATCTCCTGTCAGGCCAGGGATCTTGCTCGGGTGCAGGGCAAGGATCTGGTGCCTGACAGCTGAGATCCCACGTGGGGTTTGGCTCCGTACAAAAAGCGGGTGCTTCCTCCTGCTTCCCAACACACCATGCATCTCCACCAGAAGCACAGCCTCGGGCACAGTGCTGCCTGTGCTTCTGCAAGCCGGGGAGCAAAGCCCTCACGTTCACTTCTCTTGCCCTCTGCTTTTAGCCTGATGCTTCCCCAGGGTACTGCTGGAAAATGCAACAGTCTCAGAGCGAAGTGCTAATCCGACTGCCCACAGAAGTACAACCAACGGCCATCACCTTACAGTACTGCTCAAAGACAGCCACTCCACTGGTGACTGTCAGTAGTGCACCCAAGGATTTCACTGTCTCTGTAAGTCTGCGCTGGGCTCGCAGCTGGGATCTGATCATGGGTAAAGCTGTAACCAGCACTTGCTGTTCCCTGCGCATCTGCAGAGATGTGTGTGCTCCCAAGCCCTGCCCTTCCTAGAGGGGACATTTCACAGGCTTGCTCAGCACGTTTTGGCCCAGCACCTCCAGGGCCCTGAGGAGGAGACACAGCCCCATGGGTCTCCCTCTGTGCCAGACTGCACCAGAGACGCAGAAGTGTGGTGCAGATAATGGGCTCAGATCTGGCATGAGCTTTTGCTCATGGTCAGCTTGAGCCTGACCTGCTCTTCTGTGCGTTTATCTCCAAGGGACTGGATGAGGAAGGCCAGGGCGAAACTCTGCTGGGGTCTTTCCTCTACAGCGTGCAGAAAGAGCCAACTCAGACCTTCCCTCTGCAGGTACAGTGGGTACGCGTGGGCAGGAGGCCAGGGCAGAAGCACCAGTTTGCTAGCAAATCGCTTGCAGGGGGAGAGTGGACAGTCCCTGGCAGGACAGGGGCCTGAACCTTGTGGTGCCCAGAGCTGCCTGTCAGCACCTTCAGGGCAGGCGGTGGCAAGGAAGATGCTCAGCATTGTGCTCCGGCAGCAGGGCTTTTTCCCCTGGTCCTGCTTCCTGGCACAGGTGACCCTGAGGTCCCCACAGCTGCCCACCGCATTCTCTCTTGAGGCTGGCTGTTTGCTCTGCAAGGGCACAGGAATCCTTTGCCTCCTGGGTGGGAGAAGGGAAGGAGGGAGAAGCTGCTCCCTCTGCCAGAGCAGGAGCTGGTCCCAGAGCAGGCGTCTGGCTGGCAGGGGAAGACACGTGGCGCCTGCTCTCACTCTTTGCATCCCAGGAATGACGCTGCTTTTTGCTGTGGTTTCTTTGCAGAATGGCATCCCCAGAGCCTTTCGACTTCTGAAACTCAGCATACAGAACAACTGGGGTAAACCAACATACACCTGCATTTATCGAGTGCAGGTGCATGGGAAGATGGTGCAGACGTGATTGGAAAGAGTGACGTGGAGACCTTCCCTCAGTAAGAACTGAAGAGGAAAATGGAAGTGCAGGAGCATGGGAAGATGGTGGAGACAAATGTGGTCGGAAAGACTGACGTGAAGACCTTCCCTCAATAAGAATTGAAGAGGAAAATGGAAGTGCAGGAGCATGGGAAGATGGTGGAGACAAATGTGGTCGGAAAGACTGACGTGAAGACCTTCCCTCAATAAGAATTGAAGAGGAAAATGGAAGTACAGGTGCATGGGAAGATGGTGGAGACAAATGTGGTCGGAAAGACTGACGTGGAGACCTTCCCTCAGTAAGAATTAAAGAGGAAAATGGAGGAACACACCAGAGGGATGTGACTGTTTGTCTGGTGCACAGCAATGTCACTTCAGTGTCCCTGTCAAAGTGTAATGTGTGGGGTTTGTTCATCAAAAGGTTTATAGGGAAATACTGCTTACTACACTCTAAGAAACTCTCTGTGACTGGAAACATATTCCTTTTCCATAACTATTGTACTTCGTGAGTTATAAAGGGAAGTCAGTTGTATTATTACACAAGATTATGAGAGGGAAAAGAAACGGGTGGGAAAAAAGACGCTGAGGCGCGGCCCCTTTAAGGGCGGCCGCGGACTTCCTTCGATGTTGCCGCTTTAAGGGGAGGGTTAGATAGTTTGAAGTTGTATCTTGTTATATGCACCATATAAGGGATGGAAGTTGTGATGAGGCTGGTAATGGGCGTTTCTTGAAATCTCTGGAAACTTCTCGCAACTTCTCAACGATGAAACCTGAGCACAAAAGGGAAGCGATGGAAAAGACCCACGTCAGCATCCGAGCGAAAAGAAGCAGCAGGATTGGCTGAAGCCTTGAACCGAGAAGGACAGGCTCCCAGTGACCCGGCGTGCGCGTCTGGGGCGGAGCGGGGTCTCTCCGGCTCACCCAGTGCTGTTTTTTTATCTGCTATCGCTTGCTCAATTTAATAAAGTTATAACTTTACGTTCTAAAACGAGATTGCCTCTCTCCTTGGTAACAAAAGCAGCCAACTTCTTTCTGCCCGTTGCAGGCTGAGGCCTTCCTCAGCCTTTCCTTTTTCTCTCCACCACAGCAATGCCTCCTAGCCAAAGGAAACATCCCCACGTTGGAAGCACAGGGAGACATGCTTTCAGAGCCTCTTCTCGCCTGTGGTCTTTGACAAAATCCTTTGGCACAAGGACTGCCTCCCACTTTGCCCTGGAGAAAACAAGGCTCAGGGGGACCTTATCACTCTCTACAACAACCTGTAAGGAGGTTCTAGTGAGGTATGTGTCGTACTCTTCTCCCAAGTTACAAGTGATAGGACAAGAAGAAATTACCTCAAGTTGCACCAGGGGAGGTTTAAATTGAATTACTATGAAAAAAGTCTTCGCTAAAAGAGCTGTCAAGCATTGGAACAGGCTGCCCAGGGAAGGGTTCAGTCATCATCCCTGTAGGTATGTAAGACGTGTACATGTGCTAGTGAGATTGTTTAGTGGTAGATTTGGTAGTCCTAAATTAAAGATTGGTCTCAATGATCTTGATAGCGGAATAGACTCCACAACTTGGTTAAAGTTGTAAAGTAGGTATGCTTTATTCAGCTGAAGACGCACGGGGGATTGGTCCTCCAAAAGGCATGCGTGCCTCAGTGCCGTTTTCCTTTTACATTTATCCTGTAAAGTCATACATAGGTATTAGGTCGTACAATACGCCTATACATATTCATATTCTATCCCCGCTTCGTATTATAAGGAGCTAAAATGCGCTCCACGCATGCGCAGTGCCTCCTGCTGGTCTTGGGCAGGGGTCTTCAGATGAAGTAAGTAGTCTTCCTCTTGTGGGTAGGGGTCTTCAAGATGAAGTAAACGAGTCTTCCTCAGGCTTGAACTTTTTACCTCTGGTCCTCACGCATGCTCTTTAGGAGCTGGATGGGTCTGGTCCATGTCTAGCTGGTTTAATGAGCTATTCCCTTCGCTAGGAAGCCTTATCTTAGTGCTGTCTGATAAGGCAACTGCTGGGCTTGTCAAGCCAGCCATGATTTAAGCAGTACTCCTTGTACAACCCCCATTCTCCTCACTAGGAGGTTTTGTTCTGGTATTTGTCTGATAAGACATCTGCTGAGCTCGTTAAACCAGCTATGACTTAAGCAGTACCCCCCTGTACATTTTGACAACCCCCCTGTACATTTTGACAACCCCCCTGTACACAATAGGCCACATCAGTTTCAATTCCCCCCTTTTCTATAACATAAGTAAATTCTTTTACTTAAGAGATACCCAGGTGCCTTCAATGGATTTGCGAAACATATTCAATACACATTGGATTAAGCATGGAATTGTCATTAAGACTAAAAGAACTACAGCCAGAATCCAAATCTCTTGTTTTTAACTCCTTAATCCACCCTGTAATCCCAAACCCATTCAACCAATCATCCAACCCTCCATCAACTTGCAATTTCTTTAGCTGTTGTGCTGTCCAACATGCGAGGCGATGGATATCTGCCAATGCTTTTCCAGCTGCTACGTTTAGTAAAAGCAGTGCAGCAAAGAATCGCTTTGTATGGCCCCAAATCTTTAATGTGGGGTCACATTTAGGGCCTAATTGGTTAATAGATCTTTTATTCCTATGAAGGTCTTCCCGTAGGGTTTGGATTATATGTTTTTTAGAAGCTGCAAACACGGACAATTTTCCTAAATAGCATGGTCCCCCATGCGGCTTAGAGGGTATTCCTGGCCATGCACAGTCTCCGCGTATCAAGAAATAACCTGGGGGTAGTGCCTTAGGGGTGATACCATCATATGGGAGTGAAGGAGAAGACCCAAGACAATATGAGGTAACATTATGATACCAATCTTTCCTACTAGTCACTTTAGTTTCTGGAGTTTCATCTGACCAAGAATTGAATGTTATACAGCTCTGATTACTTTGGTCAGACCCCAGAAGTCGGAGTTCCTGAATTGGGATGGTTGAACGATTTAGTCCTTTTATAATTCCTCTTGTCTGAACAGATGCAACTGTCCAATCGCCTGAAGTTCTCTTAACTACTCTGGTTACTCCTGTAAGGTTCAAGACTGAATCATTCTTCACCCATCCATACTTAGATAAGGAACTCCGATTACACACATTTGGAATGGGTTTCCTACTTGTGTGAGTGATAAACAAAAATCTGTAACACCAGTTCTATTTGCCCAAGTAAGCTAAACATTTGTCTCTACCTAACAATGGTAACATTTTATCAAGACTTTGTGTGACCCCTAGAATCACAGTTAATCCTGTAATTATTTTCATCATTCTTCGACCTCTCGCTGGTTATAATTGCAAACAAGAGAGAAGTATTAAAGCTTTAAACAAGAAGGTTAAAAATATCATCAACACAGTCTTATCAATTTGCAGTGTTACTTGTTACGAATTAGCTTTAGTTTCAGTTCATTTTCAGTTTGGATCGCTCTCCAGGGTGTCTTCGGAGCTTTCTTAACTCGAGTATGATGAATCCAGGTGTTCTGTTCCTTAATCTTGATAGCTGTGAATGTAGTTAACAACACCTGGAATGTCCCTTTCCATCTTGGCTCAAGATTATCATCTCCTGTAGGTTTGAAAGACTTTACATACACATAATCTCCAGGCTGTATATTGTGTACCGAGCTGTCCAACCCTCTGCTTCGAGTTCCAGCCACATGTTTTTCAATTCTAGTAAGCTGCTTTCCTAACTCTATTATATAGGTGTTCATGGTTTCTTCTCCCGCTTGGGGAGACATTCCCTGTTGAACCCCATATGGCCTTCCATATAAAATTCAGTCTTCGTGCTCTTGGTTTAGTTCGAATTCTCAACAAGGCCAATGGAAGGGACTGGGGCCAAGGTAGTCTGGCCTCCTGACCCAGTTTCACAATTTGTTGTTTGATTAAATGATTCCACTTGTCCACTTGATTGTGGATGATAAGGGATATGAAGTTGCCAATCAATTCCAAGATATTTGCTTACTTGCTGTACCACATTTGAAATAAAATGTGGCCCTCTGTCTGAAGATATTATGGCTGGAACTCCAAAGCATGGTATTATCTCCTGTAACAATATTTTGGTCACTTCTCGTGTCTTTGCACTCCTAGTTGGAAAGGCTTCTGGCCAACCTGAAAAGGTGTCTGTTAATATTAACAAGTATCTATACCCCCCTTTTCTCGGCAGTTCCGTGAAATCGATCTGCCATTGCTGTCCTGGTCCATTACCCTTTCCAATTTGACCCATTTTGAGCTTGGGTATAATTCTGGGATTTGTCCTAAGGCAAAGATCATACTGGCGAGTTACCTGTTGAATGGTGGCATATAATTTTCTAGCCATAATGTTGCCTATTAAATGTTTATGTAAGGTTTTGGCTCCCCAGTGTGTTTTCTGATGTTCATTCTTTACTAAAGACCATAACATTGATAAGGGAACAATTACCCTTCCTTGTGGTGTGCTGGCCCACCCTTCTTCACTGAATATTCTGTTTTGATCTGCAATCAATTTTTGATCTTCCTTATTATAATTTGGCTTACCTTCTAAGGAAACTTTCCCATCAGGGATCAATGCTCCTTCAGTTGGTACCTCACCTTTTGCTGCTTCTTTTGCCTCTCTGTCCGCCAGCTCATTTCTTTCTTCTAATTCAGAGCTCACCTTCTGGTGCGCCTTGATGTGCATAATTGCCACCTTCTCAGGCAATTGGACTGCTTTCAATAGTCTCAATACTTCCTGTGCATGTTTGATGTTTTTCCCTTGTGAATTTAACAGTCCTCTCTCCTTCCAAATAGCACCATGCGCATGTACGACTCCGACTGCATATTTTGAGTCTGTGTAGATGTTCAGGGCTCTGGTCAGAGCAATCAATTCTGCTTTCTGTGCGGAAGTGTTTAGGCAAAGGTCCAGAATCTGTTACCTCTTTGCAGGTGGTAACTGCATATTCAGGCTGATGACATGACTGCTCCCGTCAGTGAATCAGGTTTCTGTGTTATCCAAAGGGATACTCCTCAAATCTGGACGACTAGGATAGGCAGCCTCAATGGTTTCCAGGCAATCATGGTGTACAGGTTCTCCTTCATTACCACTGAGGAAAGAGGCTGGATTGATAATGTTAGTTACCACAATCTCAACATCATCCTGCTCTATCATGATGGCTTGATACTCTAGAAATTTCTGAGGAGAAAGTCAGTGTCCACCTTTTACTTCCAGTACGGCAGACATTGCATGAGATATCCCTGGAGTCCCAAGAAATTTAAGAGCCTTACCGTCCAAGCCACACAAGTTTCCGGGTGGCAATTAGGATGTCGTCCACATACTGCAGTATTCTTCCTTCCTCCGGTGGGGCTT